ACTAATTAATCTACACAGTATTACTAAATATAGTTATATATATGAAACGTTAATATTAATGTAGGACATTTGTGATCAAAATTGTAAATCTCAGATTTATGGTAATAAAAGTATATAAAAATAAGAAAAAGGGAATAAATATGATATTTAGGGTATAAATATAAAATTTAGGGTAATAAAATAAAAGTGAAATAATTATACGATTGGATAAAAATAATAATAATCAAGTGATAAATTATAAAAATTAAGAAAAAGAAAATTTCGCATAATCGATGAAAGATTATCAAATTAGAGAAATTTATGTTACTACAGTAACACTATATGCTGATTTTTAATCAAACTCGAATCAGACTCAAACTCGTATAATAGTTCAGTTCAAGTTCAGTTCAAACTTCAAATCTTTCTTGAACTCAAGTCAAAGTCCAGTTCAAGTTCAGTTCAAATTTCAAACTGTACTTGAACCTGAGCAAAAGTTCAGTTTAGTTCAGTTTATAGGAATATTAATAACTATAGAGAAGTTTAACTATATTAGCTAATTATCTAATTAGTAAAAAACATATAATAATTTACTAATTTATAATAAATTACTATATATTTAGATTATTATAGATTAATATTAAGAATCAATTATAAAAATTAACCATTATTCTATAACTTAGATGAGAGAAACAAGTTAGACTAAGATTATTTTAATATTAATTTTTCTAATGTTCTATACCAATATTTTTGAATATTATTATATTCAATTATTAATTAGATTTTGTTTATGATTCACAAATATTAATAACATATTCACTTTTTCTGGATCAAAAATATAAATCTTTTCAAATTGCAGTCATTATGATTGTTAAAACAATTATCTTATTTTTTCTGGATCAAAAATGGCAAATTCATCTTTATAATAATAAATTATTAGAATAGAAAATAAAAAGATACTATATATACAAGTAAGTAATTATATTTTGAAGTTTTTTATCACTTTATTGTTATTCTTTATTTTTAATTGATCTTTTTCACATTTACAAAATAATAATGAATAAAACATTCAAAACTGTATCTATATTATTTTAATAAATATACATAATTTATGATTTGATTAATAAAGAAGATAATTTACATGTTTTTTCTATGATATACATTTTAATAACAAGAAAGTTCTATCTGATTATTTCAAGAACTAGTTAATTTGTGTAAGGAAGCTAATTATTATTTAGCTTTACTTATAATACTTACTGATTTTGAGCAAGCAGGTATCAATATTGCTCCAAATTCTGTTAATAAGAACTATTTTTTTTCATCTTTGTCAAAATATTTGGAAAAAATCAAGCTGTAGGATTAAGCACCAAATATGAAAATAATGAAGCTTTCAGTATTAAGTTACTTTATATCACAGCTCTTGCCTTTCTGCCCTCTTCTGAAATTCCAGTTGCTTTGATCAAATCAAATCTTTTATTACCTTTAAATTTTGAAGATAATTATATTCATGGTAAAATTAGGCGGCTGCTTAAAATGGATATGTACTTCATGCTTCACCATTATTTTCACCAGCATTTTGGTCTGTATATGAATTTAACACAAAATATCGTTGAAGAATGGCATCATCAGTGGAATACTTTAATTGGAAAAGCACATTTGGTGTATACAATTATTGAAGAACGTGCAAAGAACAGCAACAAACAGATATACCAATAGAAAGTATCATTTGTGGAGAATCTCGACCATCTCTACATAAATGCTATAGTGAAAACGTATTTCATCAGTTTTTAATAATGCAGTACAAAAGTAAATAACACTGTTTGAAAATTAATCATGTTGGTGAATATTATGTCAGTGAAATATCATGTCAGTGAATTAAATATCATGTCGGTAAAGTTTCATATCGATAAAATAGCGTCGGAGACATGGGGAGTCGGGGAACCGGTTGTCGGGAATTCTACTGTAACCTTCAGACACCCTCGAAGAAATCTGCGATGTACATATACTTTTTCCGTGGTACAATTTAGGTGTTAGGCAGTTTATAATCAACATGCTATCGCTATGGTGTAGGAACTCTTAAATGACGATATGTTACATGTTAAAAATCTTTACTTCTTAATTAAGAAGTAAATACAAAATTTAACCGGTAAAATTATCAAAAATTTCTTTTCTATAATATTACAGTTAAATTTTGTATTTATTTACTTTAGTTAAGAATTTTAACATAAAACATATTGTTTATTTAAGAGTTCCTGCACCATAGCTAAATTTGCTGTTCTGATTATATTTACACTTCAATTTAGAGAAGGATTCAGCTGATACTATCACAATTTATTAATTATTTCTCTTTATTCACTTCCATGAATTATAATTAGTCCAAATGTGGTTTTTTCGTTCATTCAAACATTTGAACCAGGGTATAATGTCACAGAAATGAAGCATGTAATACTTGGACTAAACTGTGTTGCTGCTGTTGTCACTACTGCTGTGATATTTGTCATTAGAGACGTCGGCGACCATACTAAGTTCTGTTCCACTTTTAATAACAGAAAATTTTCTTAGGCTTACATTGTGTCGAATACAAATAAGATTTGAACGATTTAATGATAACATCCCACACAGAAAATATGCAGCGTCCATGTGCATATACGTACGCAAACTTCCTACATGTACGTACATGTACATGTATTACACAATGCATTTTCATTCTGCCAACAAAAATACGCGAGATTCTCTATTTTTATAATTTACGTAAATTTAAATGTGTCGAATGTTCTACGACTATGTGATACCAAGAATAAAAAAATTTTATCATCATAGGTATATGTATAAGTAGCGTTAGAGCCTAACACTTATTATATCTACGTGGTTTCAAGAATTCCTCATAATGGTGTTTTTTTGTTCGACACGACACGACACGACACGAAAAACGGTAAATTTATGTATAATACTAAATTACGAAATTCTCCCCACAGTAATAAATAAATTTGATGTTTTTGTTAGTTACCAGAGCCAAATTCTTTTTATCCATTACGTGTATTCACCGGCGTGGCAATTCTTTTAATATATGCGAGATACTGTGTATTTTTAATTTGGGAAATAGTTCAAGATAGACCTGTTCTAATCGACTTTCAAGAGACTGAAGATTACTTACCAGTTCCTGGTGATTTTTATTCTTTGCAAAACATTGTGACTTTATAATCATCAATTAATAATCTGCTTTAATAATCAAAGAAATCCAAATATGCGGGTGGAATAGTGAAATACAAATAAAAAGATGTGATTTCACATGGAACAATAAATCAGTAATAAAATACGAAAATTGCATTCAAACATCGCCAACGAACAATGGTGTCTATTTTTGTTATTTGTTCACTACGAATGAGACGATAATGTATGGACGATTGAGCGATAACGATAACGACCAGAAAAGTAAAGATAGTCTGTTTAATATCGATTTTTATTTTAAGATTTTGAACACAACAAATTTTATTGATTATTCGATTTCTGTTGCTACTATTGGTAATCTATAGTTTTCATTCTTTTTGAACAGAAGAAAGCAGCGTGAATTTATATTAATTATAATAAAATGAATTTTTAGCTATACAATTATTTGATCCGAGTTTTAATCCTCTTTGGGATAAAACAAGAGTAAACAGAAAAATCGATAAGATCATGGAGGAAAACTTCAACTTAGAATACAATAATTTCGCGGGAATACTACTCTGGTAAAAAATTGAATTTGTTTCTTACGTGTAAAAGATTTTAATGATATGCCAAAAATAAAATATCAAATATTGCTCCTAGACTAAAATCCGAAGATCAGTATTCAGATCAATTTTACCAGGCGATGTTGCCGCAATCTTTGGCTTTACACCAAATTATCACAACACAATCACTTACATAGCTATTATCCGATGCATTCGAATCCAAATGTAACTAATGAGGATTATTCCGGTCATTTTTCAGTGAGGATTGGTACTTTTTTGCAGAGCATACGCGAGCAACAACGGTCTGTGTGTATTTTAAAAATAGATTCTTGTATTCACGAGTATATTTTTAATCAAATTACCAAAATTATTAGGTCTCATACTGTTTTGGTGCACTGGGTGTTGCTGGTGGTGCTTTTTTTGGTAATAGTTTTGATTGGATTTTATTTTTCTTAGTATTTTTGAGACACATGACTGAATTTATACGCTTGGACTTTCTTTAAAATAAAGGAGTGATATGTGGAATTTATGCCGTATTATTTGGAGAAGCAAGATTAAGGCCATGGTAAATGAATTCAATTCTTGTTTAGCAATTTAATTATGGCTAACGCTGACGCTAATGATCAACGTAATTCGTGGGGATGACGTTTCCTAATAAATTATTCAAATTAGGGGATTGCTCCACAAAGCGGCCAAAGACTCAATATTACATAACTTGCATGCACTTGACCCGACAAATGTACCGTTTATATCGCCATTAATAGTCGACGGACCAAATCAACGCCCTGTTGAGGAACGAACAAGACGTCTCGAAGAGCGCATCGAGGAATTAGAAGGAATATTAACGGATTATTTTATTGATGGAAGCTTTATAACTAATTTACGGAAACGGCGTGCTGCTACTATGTCTTTTACACCCTCGGCTACGCTGGAAACAACGAACATAATGACGGTTGCTGTGAATGATGGTGATGATAAACCAACTAAAGACCTCTCTAGCAAAGTGGCGGGTGAAGATGAGATAAGGATGAAAATCGGTAAAGTAGAATGAGAAAGTTTAGAAAACAGAAAAAGTATTTTATTAAATTATTATTTATTTTCAGCAAATTTTTAAGTAGTTTGGCTATAAGCATTTATCCTCAAAAATTCTACCAATTAGTAGCTGAGTATCTTTCGATTCGAGAAAATAAATCATCAACTTGATCTTTGTAACCGTAAATACAAAAGAAGTTAAATTTTATTTTTCAACACTTCTTCAATTACCTTAATAAAATAATGAATCACAAAAACTACAGTGCATGTAAAATCATTTATATTGCGAGTGCCGATAAGAAATTATCTTTTGGGAAAGCAAGATTGTGAGTATTGTATATTACTGGTGGTGGTAATGTGTTATCTTTTATCTCCTATCAAAGTTTTATATATTGAACAATACGTAAGTAATAGGGAAAAGCAGAAACAACATCAACAACATTTGCAATAACAACAATAATAACAACAGAAATAAAAGTAAAGATTACAGAATCAGAAACCCGTTACTCGATATTAGCGGTAAATAAGTCCTTAGAAGAGCAATCCATAAAATTCTAGTTGCCGAGCAAAACTCATTTCTAAATTTGTCAAAAGTCGAAAGATTTAGACGTCAGATGTCTATTAAATGCTTTTATTATCGTTATGTAAATTAACTGATGAATTTCAACGTTTGACAAGTCTAAAATGGGGTTTTCCAGATGACATAAATATCAGAAAGCTGACGGCGCGGATTTATTGTAGTGCTTAATCAATTATTCACAGAAGACTATTTTAAAGATTATACCACAAATATTAAAGATGACTATTTAATTTCTAATCAAACTCGTTTGAAAATTGTATTTTTAGTCATAAGGATTAAGTTGTATCTAATACGATATTATCCATATATTGTACATGTATCGGTCCAGTTTAATTTACCTATTGATTTGATTTAATTCTATTTATCGTTATTATTGAATTATTTCATTTACATACAGTATATGAGTTTTAGTAAATTCGGGTTATTGAGGCAAGTTTGCTATAACTGTCCTTAACGTTAAACCAATTTCTATTAATTGATGCAGGTTTTACTATAGCTGCTCCTGGAACCGAATTTGGTTAGCTAGTGTATTTATTGATCAGAATTTTGCAATTACAAGCTTTATATTAATTACTATAAATTTTATGAAATTTTCGAAAAATTTATAGTTTTCTATTTATCCACTTAAAATTCGATGCTAGTTATTACAAGCTTTATATTAATTACTATAAATTTTATGAAATTTTCGAAAAATTTATAGTTTTCTATTTATCCACTTAAAATTCGATGCTAGTTATTACAAGCTTTATATTAATTACTATAAATTTTCGAAAAATTATAGTTTTCTATTTATCCACTTAAAATTCGATGCTAGTTATCGAAATTTGTTAAAGTTATGGTGCAAGTTATCTATAATCGACAATAAATTGTATTGTTACCGCCGACGAACAAACTTCCTCAATTATGGTTTTTCGGGGGTAAACGGCAGGAAACGAGCCGTGGATGTCGA